ATGCTTCTAATATTGTGTTCACCCTAACTTGTGTACAAGGTGGAGCAGAATATTAGAACACGTAAAACACTTTTCAGCTAAATACTATACAGTACCTCAGTCATCTGTGAGGAGCTCAGAGTAGAGCTGCTGCTCCTCCACACTGAGCGAAACCAGTTGAGGTAGCTCGGGCACCTGTTTAGGATGCCCCCTGGACACCTCCCTGGGGAGGTATTCTGGACATGTCCCTCTGGGAGGAGGCCTCAGGGCAGACCCAGGACACATCGGAGAGACTATGTCTCCTAGCTGGCCTGGGAACACCTTGGGGTTCCTCCTGAGGAGCTAGAGGAGGTGTGTGGGGAGAGGGAAGTCTCTTACAAATACAATTTGTGCATGTGCGCTCTGCAATGCTGATTTGCAAACTGTGCAGCGCCCTCAAACATTTTAGCAGGGATTTACTTCCATACATCTCTATGGTAATTTTTGAATCAGTATTTAGCAGTATTTTGTAAAATATTGCACTGCAAGATGCTTCTAATATTGTGTTCACCCTAACTTGTGTACAAGGTGGAGCAGAATATTAGAACACGTAAAACACTTTTCAGCTAAATACTATACAGTACCTCAGTCATCTGTGAGGAGCTCAGAGTAGAGCTGCTGCTCCTCCACACTGAGCGAAACCAGTTGAGGTAGCTCGGGCACCTGTTTAGGATGCCCCCTGGACACCTCCCTGGGGAGGTATTCTGGACATGTCCCTCTGGGAGGAGGCCTCAGGGCAGACCCAGGACACATCGGAGAGACTATGTCTCCTAGCTGGCCTGGGAACACCTTGGGGTTCCTCCTGAGGAGCTAGAGGAGGTGTGTGGGGAGAGGGAAGTCTGGGAGGCTTGCGACCCGGTCTTGGATGAAGCGGATGAAGATGGATGGATAGATGGATGGACTATACAGTAGAGTTTAAATGTTATGTGTTTATGTATTTATTTGTTTGTTTGTTGTCTTCCAGAACACCATCCATCCTCTATACCGCTTACTCCTAATTAGGGCTGCGGGGCGCTGAAGCTGATCCCAGCTGGTACTGGGCAAGAAGCAGGGTATACTCTGGACAGGTCAACGTGAATTCCAGCATGAAATAACTTTTTTATAGTGCATCTGATTCACTCTGTTTATAAGTAATAAGCCTGTTGTAGCAACAACACCTGCAGTATACACAAATACCACTCCACCACAGCTCTGCAAGACATTACAATCTGGGGAAATGAAAAGCTAATTTTCTCACAAAATTGCATCTTTAAAAGATACTGACTCGATTTAGCTTAGTGGGATGGCTGAAGTTTCATGAATCAAACAAATTTTGGAGTGCATTTTTGCACAAAACAAGGGTATGCATTTGATCCCCCTTTCACATTCTGTGGGAAAAGCTTTATGGCTGCTGAGAGTAGGAATAGATAGAATGAGCAAGACCTATTCTTACACACGGGACTTTTTTTTTGCTCTTTTTTGCTTTAATGTAACAAAATCTTATCTGGACATTGGATCTCTGATCCTTTGTAATGAAAAACTGACCATTGGTTAATTTGTATGGCTGTTTGACATATGTTTGTTTCAAACTTTACTTAAAAACATGTTATGTCCCTAACAGCAGTGTGATCAAGAATGCTTATGTCAAAAAATCAAACCAAAAAACCTCACATGGGCAACAATAGCAAAAGAATAATGCTAATTTGGTGGAACAGAAAATGGTCTACAATCATGTAATTGTCTTTAAAAATGCTCAGGTGTTCTTTCTGCATTGATTAAAAAAAGAATGAGGTACCAGCATTTACTTTAGCTGTACATTAACGTGCATATTACTTTTGTATTTTGATTGACAAATAGACAAGCTATCAGACAGGCCAAGCTACAGTAACCCAAGAGTGTGTAAGAGGGCAGCTACCTCCATCATGTTGTGTGTTAAGTAGCAGGCAGTCTGACAGACATTGAGACTACTGAGCAAAACCTTCTGCACACTGGGCTAAGTGAGTTACCACGGGGCTACTGGCTCTGTAATAAAGCGTTTAATGGACACACAGCTTCTCCGTGCCTTCCTGGGGCTAACACTAAATTCCTCTTTACTGTTGCTTTCCCAGATGTTACTGACTTATCTATTTTTCCCATCATTCCAGAGGCTGTTCCATCCATTTCCTAGGCTGAAATACACAGAAAAAGATGTTTTAAGTCAGATGTTTTTCCTCAACTACACACATGCAGTGACTGAGATGTTTTATGTTCCTGCATGTATGTTCCTGCATGTATGAGCTGCAGTCTAGGCTTGATGCACTGCCAGTGCTTAAAATCATCCTGTTGCTCTTATACTTTTGGTGTTTACGTGATATAGGGCACATGTGTGTCACTTTCACTCAGATGCAAAACTAAAACTCTGAACAGTAAAATTCCCCTGCCACATCTGTTTTTAATTTATATGTCAGTTTGTCAGATTCCCAGCATTTGCAAGATGTGTAACTTCAGAGCCTGTATAACTGCTGGATATCACTAGGCTGCAGATGGTCTTGTGGCAAATATGATCTGTTGCAAACATAGATCTACATCATTGGATGCACTTACAGTTTTTTTCTGAATTGCTAAAACACGTTTCTTGAAACCATCACTCATTTTCTCAGAATCTTAAACACAAATCCAAATACTCAAACAAAAATCTCAAAACCTCTGACTCTTTTGGCAAAATCAAACAACTATTTCACCAGCACTGAAAATCAAACAATGCTTTCAGATCATACACACGAGTCAATCATATATAGACACTGCAGCTCATTTATTAGACTCTACATCAAAAATGGAGAACACAGCATCCAGGGCATGTAGTTACAAAAAAAGTTTGTGTATAGTAAAAACACACAAAACAAAACAAAAGAAATCACACCTAGGTATGGTGAATTTACCAAAAACCATGTTACAATCAAAAAAGAAGAAGAAGAAGAAGGAAATAAGCACATCAGAAAGATTATTTTACCTCAGGATCATGTCTTTGAGCTGGGCCCGGCCAGAGGGCTTCATCTATGTCACAGGCAATGCTGTCCCTTCCCAGACAATGGGCAAAAAACCCTCTGGTGTGGCGGATCCAGGTTTGACGAGACTGCATGTCTATGTCACTGCAGGCCAGTTCCATTGCCTGTAAGAGATTTTCCCTGGTATATGGGTTTTGGTCATAGACTTTCCATCGCCATGCAGAGCAAAACTCTTCTGTTGGGTTGAGGAAAGTGCTGTATGGTGGAAGGTCTTACTCTTCCTCGTCCTTTTTGTCCAACACCTCATATTCCTCTACCTCTCATATTGTTATCTATAGTTGATGGATATACCCGTGCCATCTGTGCACTTTGAACTGGCTTATGATTTGTACCTTCTCATCACATAATTAGAAACAAGTGTGAACAATTTTGAATCGTTGTGTGTAAACAATGACAACTGTGCTTTAGTTGTGTTTAAGTTCTGCTGTCCTCTGTTTAGTGTTTTGCAACACAGGTTCATCACAGTG